ATATATATATTATTTTTGGCAGAACCAGGGATTAAACTCAGGCCCTTGCGCTTGCCAGGGAAGCGCTTATTCCACTGAGCCATCTCCCCGGCCCCCATGAAGCATATCTGAGATGGACACTAGCAGGAAACTTTTTACTTGGAAGTAAGATAGGGAAAATAGATAGTATAGGAAGTTCCAAATCAATCAATTCAAAGAAAGTCAAAAGAGTGGGCTAAGTTATGCATCAGGGTCTCTCTCAGAGTATACAACACCTCAGGTCAGTTTTCTAATAATAGCTGATACTAGAAAACTCAAACAGTCGTAGCCCAAAACTCCCAGGGCTCATTAGGTTGAAAAACCGTAAAACACTCAGATACAGCTAAAGCTCAAAGGATAGCAAATTATTCCAAAGAAGGATTGGTTTATAATGCAAATAAAGTACAGGCTGGGCAATTGTGATAGTCATTTGTGAACTGCTCAACTTCCTAGCTGTAGACTGTGAGGGGCTGGTGTGATGAACAGAAAGATAATATCCCTTTGAACCCACACAGTTTCTAACAAGCAATGATGTAAGTTCTCATAATGATTCATTAAAACTTCCCTTACTTCCTTTTTCTGTCACTAAAGCTATTTCCTTTTATATTTTAAATTTTATTTTAAAAGTAAAAAAGGAACGCAAGAACAAAAATCAGAAAAAAAGAGAAACAAAGTAACATACAATAATACATAGCTTACAGATTTTCAAAACAAGAATAATTGATTAACAATGATTTATATATTATCTATTTTTATCAACAAATCTGTTTCTCAGATTAACAGACACAGATATTTAAGATTGGAAGTACGGTTGCATATTATCACTTGCTTTCAAAAACTGTAAATTTTTGTTTTTATCTTTTCTTCTTTTTACCTTTCTAAAAAATTATTTTAAAGAGTATAGTGATAACTGAAATAAAATTGGAAATGGTACGCATTTAGATCAAGATGACAGATATTCAAGGATAGCTTTTGTATTACACATTACTGTCCTTGATGTAGTTGCTTAGATTGTAGATACCAGCATACAGTATTAGTCAAAGTAAAAATTCTATACATTAACTGTTTAAAGCCATTTCAATGTTGTCATTATTTTTCTTTTTGTATTCTGAGGTTCATTATTTTAAATTTTAGAAATCATTGAAATTGTCTTGCTCTAGGATTGTACACATAAAATTTTCACAGGACACTTAAATTATAACATCTAAGGGGCTCTGATTAGTATAGGAAAGTAATTTCAAAATTTGGATAAGATATGACCAACTGCAGGTGCCTGATGTGCTAGGACCATAGGAATATTGCCTTAAGATTACTTAATTCTACTATTATTTGTCTTAGGTACTGTTTTACACTTCTTCAATTATTTTATTTGTTTTTTCCATCATTTTATTGAGAAACAAATAGCAAAGAGACAGTTTCAAATCAAATTGGTAGGACAGTTTCTTGCATATGTTCTTCCTAGTGGTTAATTGATGTACAAGATGCGGTCATGATATCTTCTTTACAAACACTATTAGAACAAATCCCTCTATTCATTAAGAGAACATAACTATACATCTATCCTAAACATTTTGGATACACAGATACAAAATGGACATTCATCTGCAGCCCCTTTGTTTTGCTTAGTTCCGTTATTTGAATATTATAGGTGTGTTAGCTAAGCAAAATATTCTAAAAGATTCCAGTAGTGCATAATAGTATTGGGTCTTCCACCTGACTGGCAATGTTAGAAATTGTTGACCTGAGTCCCCTACAGCTCATCATAACAGCATGGCTTTACTTCTTATACTTCATTTTTATACTTTTCTGCTGGATGGTTTAGACCAAGATAAAGCAAGTACTATGCAACAAGAGTTGTAGCTTTTGGGTCTGATAAGGTCAGTGAAATCCCCTCAGGATTTGTCCTGAAATTCTGTACCTCAGATTGTAGATCCTTTGTCAGTATCAGCCATGTAGATGAGTCATGGCCATTGCTTGGCCAATGTGCTCTCTGTGAAAGCCTGAGAAAATGTTTTCTTTCCAGGTAACTCTCCCTAGGCACACTCTACATCATCAATCACTTTCCTCTTTGGCCCCATAATCTCCTGGATCAGAAAATTTGGGACACTACCGAGTTACATGACGTTACACTACAAATTCTCATATGTCCTGAGTCTTAATTGAACTTGGAAGGATTGGACCAAAATGTTGGTTTTCCTTACGGCCCTCCTTTTTTTCTAATTTTGGTTTGCAAACTTAGTTTGTTAACCCTCCAGAAGAGAAATTTATTGTTATTACCATACACCCGAGGCTTTGCTACATCTTCAGTATTTCCTCTAAATACAATGTAAAACATAGTATTTCAAACAAAGTAAATGTTTAGAGCAGAAATATGCTCTTCTCAGTAGAAAATACATTTCTAAGTTATGGTGACCATTTTTGGTGGTTCTGTGGAAGTTAGAAAACACAACAAATATTTTTAAGAGGAATTGAGAAGGGATTTAACTTCCAACTAGAAAATTACTTTCCAGGGCTGAGGAGATAGCTCAGTAGAATAAGTGCTTGCCTGGTAAGCATAAGGGACTGAGTTCAACCCCCAGTTCTGAAAAAGAAAAAAGAAAAGAAAATTACTTTCCATTGGTGGTTCAGTCAAGTTTCTTCTTTTAATACTTTTAATCCAATAAAAGCAAAATTGTAATGACAAAATAACAGAATATTTTACAGTTTTGAAAACACTATTCCCACGATGAAACTGTTACTCCATTTATTAATGTTCTTCTTTGAGGTCATCTACAACTCCGTTTAGAAACACATGACATTAACCTTGTATCTGTCCTAAGTTCTCCTATTTTATTTGAGGAGATAGGTTTCTATTTTCTCTGTGTCACACTCTTCTGAAAAGAATTCTGAATTGGCCATTAGCAATTTTTGTGCTCTAGCACATGAAGGAAAATATTTTAAATTGATTTTTGCAATTTTTATATTATCTTTATGATAAGAAATATGACAGGGAGAGCCAGGGAGATAACTCAGTAGAATAAGCACCTGCCTGGAAGATCAAGTACCTGAGTTCAATCCCTGATTCCACAAAGAAAAAAAAGATTTAATCAGGTTTATCTTATTGGAGGAATGAGACAATGGAATTGATGTTTTCAATGTTGTTTATCTGGCCTCACAGAGGTTTCTCAAGGGATATTTTTAAATATTAAATTTACTTTTAATATATAAAACTTAATAAATTTTGCATATTAGGAATTTAAATGCAATTTACATACACACATTGTAAAATGTTCAAAACAAATGGAACATACCTAGCTCCTCATTTATTGTTTTTGTGGGGAATACTTTTAAACCCTTCCAGCTTTTTAAAATAGTAATATGCTATTCTATCTATAGCCAGTCTACTGGGTAGCAGCATTCATCAGCTTTGTACTTTTATCTAACATAAACTAGAAGATTCCTGCACTAAATGTGGCAAATTTATTAATACTTAAAGTGATCTTCCTCTATTGATTGACATTATACTTTCATATTACTTGAAGGCAGTAAATTTTTTGAATCAGTAAAGTAAATCCAGTAATAACTAAAACCAGCTCTTATTTTGAGTAGAATTTAAATGACTAAAGCAGAGGGATATCATTTTTTGTCATATGTAAATATGAAAGTTTGACTCAGGGATGTCACAAATTTTCTGATCAAGATTATGGAACCACAGAGGAAAACAATCCACAGTGTACAGTTTGCCAAAGCAGAGTCACATGGAGAGAAAACATTCTCTCAGGCTTTCACAGAGAGAAAATTGTTCATGCAATGGCTGTGACTCATCCACATGGCTGACACTGACATTCTACAAACTGCAGTACAGGGTTTCAGGGTAAATCCTGAGAGGATTTGACTGACTTTGTCAGATATAAAAGTTACATTTCTTGTTATATAGGTCTTGCTTTATCTTGGTCTTAACCATCCAGCAGAAAAGTATAAAAATGGGGTATAAAAAGTAAAGCCATATTAATATGCTAAGCTGTCAAAGCCTCAAGTCAACAACTTCTGACTTTGCCAGTCCTATGTATAACCCACTACTATTATGGACTATTGGACTATATTAGATTATTTGTCTGAATTCACACACCTACAATATTTAAATGGCAATGAAATACTCATCTCTGACAAATCTAAACAAAAAAAGGGGATACAAATGAAGGACCATTTTGTATCTCTATATACAAAATAGGATAGATATACAGCTACTTTCTCTTAATTCAGTTAAAAGAAAGATTTGTACTAATAGTGTTTGGATAAGATGTCATGTCTGCATCTTGTACTATGAATAGCCATTATGAAGACAACAATATGCATTGTATTTTTTAAGGGAATGATTTAGATGGTCTCACTACTAGTTCAGACTCATAGTAATCCACCTATTTACAGCCTCCCAGGAGCTATGATAACAGGCACACTCCACCATGCTCAGTCTGCAATGTGTTAATTATTGAAACTGTCCTACTAATCAGTTTTGAAACTGTCTCATTGCTATTTTTTTCTCAATAAAATTAATAAAAATAAACAAATAAATATGAAACTTTGATTTCACTATTAGCCAAATCTTATTAAGGTAAATATCTCAGAAATTTCCAATTATTTACATTACTAAATTTCTCCAATATTAAATATGATTTCAAATGTCATAACCTAGAGCTTAAAATGGTTTATAGTAGTTTACATTATAATTCTCTTATTAACTATAACTTTCTGTTTCATTCAATTTTAACATTTCTGCCAAATGTACCTTTCTCTAGAGCTGTTCTAAGAGAATAACACTTAATAATGATATGCATATACTATATTTTCATTTTAGCAAGCAGTTTTGCTTTATTATTAGCTATACTATTTTTTGGGGGGAGGAACTGAGGATTGAACTCAAGCCCTTGCACATGCCAGCAAGTGCTTACTGTACTGAGCGGTGGCCCCTACCAGCCATAATCTAATGCTAAATAAAAATGTTTTGGATTATGATTTTACAACTTATTTTCCTAAAATTCTTCTGAATCATTTTGTTAAATTCTTCTCAGTTTCCTCAAGGATGATGTTTAAAATAAACCCAGAAATTTAATCAGTTTGAAAAAAAAGGGGGACAGGGAGATGACTCAGTGGATTAAGCACAAAGGCTTGAGTTCAATCCCTGGTTCCCCCCACAAAAAAAGAGAGCTTGACCTCTATAAATAAACATTTTAAATAACTAGAAACAATGAGAAATTCCAATTTCCTTGCTGAAATAGATTAAAAGTTTTTCAATGTACCACAACTCAAGTGCAGTTGTTGTACATGCAAGAAGAAATAGTTTCCTTCCTGTTTTTAACTGTGTAGTTTTTTCTTGTTTGTTTGTTTGCTTGTTTGTTTGTTTGTTTTTTAGGGGAGGGTCTACAGAATGTTCAGGGTCTCACTTCTAGAACAGACTTGTAGTGATTCCCCTGTTTACAACCTCCTAAATGCTGGGATTACAGGTGTGCACTACCACGACCAGTCTCAATTGCCATCTCAGGGCACCCCGGAGGTGGAGCCAGCACCACAGGCCTGGAGATTGAACCCCCAGCCCCTGTGCCTGCTTGCAGGCACTTTAATCTGCTGAGCTATTTGGCCAGCCTTCCTATCTGTTTTTATTGTTATTTTTGCATCATTTCATTTTCCAATTAATTCTGTTCGGGTTTTTTGTTTTGTTTTGTTTTGTTTTGTTTTGGTACTGGGGATTGAATTTAGGACCTTGCACATACTAGGCAGGAGCTTATGCTGCTAAGCTCTCTCCCCAGCTCTATTTTCCAACTAATTCTGGAATGAGGCTGTTTCACTGGGTGATTATAAAATAATAAAATTAGGTATAACTATGCTCTTAGTCATATAAGCAGGTGAATAGGCTGCTCAAAAAAATCATAAAACATCCAAAAATTGCTTGAGGATAAAATCTGTGTCTCACCAGCTTAATTGTCTTGGAGAAAGTTTTTTTTTAATCATCATGCTTAAGGTTTTTTCTTTTTATTTATTTTTTTCTTTCTAATTTCTTATAGCATTTTTGTTGTTGTATTGATTCTCTTAAAACCAATTTTACATGCTTATATCTGATAACCTGAGCAACTAATCTGAAGACAACATAATGTAATACAGCAACCATTGTTAAATTCCAGTTACTTTGTTTAGTCAAACTTTGTATCATTTCTAATGCTGTTTTTATTACTATTATGTATTCTTTTTAAAATTTATTTATTATTTTATTTTATTTTATTTTTGGCAGAACCAGAGATTGAACTCAGGCCCTTGTGCTTGCTAAGCAAACACTTACTCTACTGAGCTATTTCCCCTACCCTAAAATTTATTTTATTATTTAAAAATCATTTATTAATTGATTTATTGATTGATTGATTGATGACTGATTGATTGATTTTTGCAGGGTCTCACTAAACAGCTTTAACTCATAGTAATCCTCCTGTCTCAGCCTTCCCAGAGCTAGGACTACAGGCATGTACCACCATGCCTGGTTTTGGTGGCTGGCACAGCACACCCAAGGTTATGGGGCTGGCCTGTCATGCAGAACTACGGATTGAAATTAGGTCCTTGCACTAGCAAGGCAGGGTTTTAGACTGCTGAGCTATCTTCCCAGTGTTGTAACCCAAAAATGAGACAACCAGGAGAAAAGTCCAAAAAGAGAAAGGAGCACTTTATTTTAGCTGGTACCCCGTGGTGTACTCTCGGCAAGGGTAGCCAAGGTATGTGCCGAGTTATGCAGAGAAGAGTATTTAAGCACCAAAACCTCAAGGGGAGTGAGGAATGGAAGAGTATAGAACATACAGAGGAGAACTTGGGAGATAACAACTCATTTGTTTTTACATTTTGCGGTCAAGCTTGTTGGATGTTTTTGAGAACAACACAGGTGGCTAGGGTTGAAGCATACCATATTTGGGAACATCTGGACAAAACCAGGTCAGTTCAAGAGTAGGTCACACGTGCCCTCTAGTATATAGCTTTTGTTCTTGGTCCTAAAACAAATGTTAAAAATAAATGTGCTCCTGCATCTATCATGTCTCACCAACAAGTTCTGGTCATGTGCACCTACAGGCATTGTTGGCAAGCATAGAACTTGGAACAGTCTTTCCAGAGCACAATCTGATGAGTAAACACATACATGAACTGTGAACCAGCTGTCCACTTCAAGGGGTTTATACTAAAGAGACCATCAGACAGGCAAAAAAAAAAAAAAAAAAAAAAAAAAAAAAAGAAGTACAAAAAGATTTAGTCTAAAGTTTGAATTTCCTAATGTTTTAAGCACATCATCATCATGTGATTAAATGAATCATAACACAATCTAAAACTCATTTTAGAAGATGGTGATAGATATGTATGGTGATTGACGTGGAAAGATCTTGGCATGGCATAAAACCATGAACACAGTGATCATGGACTATATAAAAGCATATTAGCTAGGTGGCAACTGGGATTAGCAGGCCTTTTGAGAGTCAGATGGAAGGGATGCAACTTTCCTCCCAATCCTTGCAAAGGGATGATAAGCTTTGTAAGAGGAAACAAGCATGGGGACAGCCAGGCTTTCAGTTCCCACTAATTAGCCAAGTGCAGCAGACACTGGCCCTGCATGTATTCCCCTTCCCCATGCTGCACAACCCCACCCATACTCACTCCTCACATCCTCTCTGCAAATGGCTGGAGCCTCAAGATTGTGCTTTTACAGAAGGCAGAGGGACAGCTAATACTCTAAGCAACTGAAAATAAAGTACTGCCAGAAAAGTTAAAAAAAAAAAAGAGTAGGTTACACGGTGGGGATGGGGGGTGGGTGACGCATACAGAGCAGGAGTCAGCCCAGGGTACAGAATGGAGCCTGAACAGAAAATGGAGTCTAAGTAGTCAACAGGGGCTTTTTTATGGTACAACACCCAGCCCACTATTTTGTATTCTTTACAAAAAAATAAAAGAAATTGCAAGCCTTCAAAACTATTTTTCTTACTGAAATTCAGCTATATTTTTGCATTTCTACCATGTGTATAAATCTTTGACACCTAGTTTAAATGACTGTTATCAAATAACTTTCTCTGAACAATTTGATAAATGTAAATACAACATGGAACAGAGAATCAGGAAATTAAAAATGTAAATGTTTGTCTCACTTTATATTTTGTCTAGAGCATTTTCTAGTCAGAATGTTCTTTAACTTAAGCATAGAGGCAACTACTTTTGTGGGAGAAATTTATAAATGTTCTCTGACTTTTAATCCAAGATGATCCCATACAGTGCAGGAGAATGTGCCCAAAATATTATTATAGTACATTCTTTTTTGTATCTTCAGTTGAGAAGTCTGGAAGGAGAGTAACTCTGACTTCTTTTACTCTCCTTATTTACAAAATGGGTCATGGTGGACTTTCTATGTGGCTCAGTGATATAAGTCATTGACCTTGGTGTCTTAGTGGCTAGTATTGTGCAGCCACTGTCCAGTTTACTTGGAAGTGGACATTTAGGTAAATTCTAAGGTAAATTTTGATTTTTTAAAACTCAATTTCTACTAACTTCTTAATTTCTGTGATCTAGCACAGCAATAATAAATAATAATTAAAAATATAGGGCCAGCAAGATAGCTCAATGAATTAAGTGCATACCTTAGCAACCTGAGGGGCCAGAGTTTGATCTCTGGTCCTGCATTCTATGCTGGCCCTATCCCCAGGGCTCACTGAGCTGGCAAATGAGTCTGGGAATGGTGACACGTGCCTGTAATCCCAATGCTGTGGAGGCTGAAAACAGAAGTATCAATATGAGTCCAACCTGCACAGTAAGACCCTGTACCAAATATATAAAATGAAAAAAAAAAGATTCTTTTCGATCTTTTTCATATAAATTAAATATCTAAATATAAATATACACTTATAGTAACTACCCAATTCATTCTTTGTGTATTTTCTTCTCAATGTGATATTTTTTAACTTTATGCAGAAAGCGTTATGGTGTACATAAAAAGATAAATAAGAAATATATACTTACTTTCCCTGTAATTTATATATCTCTTTTTAAATTTAAATTATTTTTCTAGGTCACTTGACAGTTTTGACTTGATGAAAAAAGAAAATGATTCAAAAGTGACAGAATTTGTTCTTCTGGGTCTGTCATCCTCCTGGGAGCTACAGCTATTTCTCATGTTCATGTTTTCCTTGTTTTATGTTGCTATTATTGTGGGGAATCTTTTGATAATTGTGGCAGTGAGAGCTGATATTCATTTGCTACAATCTCCCATGTACTATTTCTTGGGCCATCTCTCCTTCATTGATCTATGCCTGAGCTGCGTTACAGTGCCAAAGTTATTGGAAGGTTTCCTACAACAGGCCAATACCATCTCTTTTTCAGGATGCTTGGCCCAGATCTACTTTCTCCACTTTCTGGGAGGTAGTGAGATGTTTCTGCTGACAGTAATGGCCTATGATAGGTATGTTGCCATATGTGACCCTTTGCATTATCTGACAGTCATGAACCACAAGTTATGTCTTCTGTCGGTGGTGGCCTGCTGGTGTGGGGGCTTCATCCACTCTATCACACAAGTTATATTGGTCATCCAGTTGCCTTTCTGTGGCCCAAACGAACTGGACAACTTCTACTGTGATGTCCCACAGGTTATCAAACTGGCCTGCATGGACACCTACATGGTAGAGGTCCTGATGGTCTCTAACAGTGGTCTTCTGTCTCTTATATGCTTCTTGGTCTTACTAATCTCCTATGCAGTCATCCTGATTACCCTGAGAACTCAACTTCATTTGCGCCAGAGCAAAGCATTCTCTACCTGTGCTTCCCATGTAACAGTGGTAAGCCTGATCTTTGTGCCATGTGTATTTATTTACCTAAGACCTTTCTGCACCTTCTCTGTGGATAAATTATTCTCTGTGTTTTACACAGTAATCACACCTATGTTGAATCCCTTCATTTACACACTCAGAAATACTGATATGAAGATAGCAATGAAGAAGCTGAGAAAAAAGTCATGTGCCAGTCTATTGCCTTGTTAAAATGGAGAATAGGAAAAGGTAACTTAGAGAATATACTTTGGGGTTTGGGAGATAGCTCAGCAGTATAATTGCCTGCCTGGCAAGCATAAAGACCTGAGTTTGATCTCCATTACCAAAAAAGCAAGCAAGCAAGCAAGCAAGCAAGCAAACAAACAAACAACAACCAAAATAAACCTTTCTTTCTTTCTTTCTTTCTTTCTCTTTCTTCTTTCTTTCTTTCTTTCTTTCTTTCTTTCTTTCTTTCTTTCTTTCTTTCTTTCTTTCTTTCTTTCTTTTATTCCTTCCTTCCTTCCTTCCTTCTTTCCTCTCTTTCTTTCTTTTTTCAGAACCAAGGATTGAACTCAGACCCTCGTGCTTGCTAGGCCATTGCATATTATAAACCTCTTTCTTGATACACACTTACCTAATCCTGTAATAAGCACAAAAAACAGACAGATGACTTTTACACAAAAGAGAAAACAACATAAAAGCATATTGCCTGACTCTTTATAGCAACTGGGAGACAAATATATTTCTTGGGTGCTAAATATTATCAAGGAACCCAGGATCATTTACTGGCTGACAAATGATAGGAATTAAGTAAATACTAGGACCACAGGGCACCTTAAAAGATCAATTACTTTGTTCTTCCACATATAAGAAATCTTCATTTAGGTGTATTTTACTATTTAACTCTACAGAAATGAAAGAAGGTATTACATCTCCTTTTGTGTCTTGCTTCTTTAAAGTTTAACAATTCCTAGTGTTAAAAATTTCCTTTGGACATTTCATTAAGTTTCTTCAGAAAAAGTGATCTCCTTTTGTAGTGTCTCTAACAAAACCAGAAATTTTGGCACACACTGTGCCAAATTTTATACATGCAATCAGGTAATTCTGTTAAATGAACATATTTTCTTAGCAAAGTTTACGTGTGGGGAAAAGAGAAGTCCTAGGATGAGTGAGAGGCTACTGATATTACTGAAGACCAGCTTGATAAAGTGCAGAACAGGCAGGTATTAATATTAATAAACTTGCATAAAAATCAATTGAATTGAGAGTCTCACAAATGGCACAGGAAAGAAATTAATCACCAGGAAAAGGCCAGGACTAAAATCAGCAAATGATCTATGAAGTTCTGGCATCTCACAGCAAGAGAAACACTACAGCTGAGAACTTTACTCATGCAACTTCTTTCTAAATCAGTATACTCAGTCATCAATCAGCTTACTGATGAACCATCATCTATTCACGTGTGATTTTTAAAAAAAATATTGTTCCTCAATCCTTAAACTTTAACTGTGTCAGTCACCCCATCACATCCTGTTACCTAGCAGCACAACTACCCCTCAATGAAGCCATGAGCCTAATAAAGACCAGGGACACTGTGCTTTTGTCTTTCTTCAGCTTTGGCCATTATGGCTTCTCTTGTTACTAAAATATATATCTTGTCTGTGTTTTGTTCTGTCATTGTACCCCTGAGCAGGAGATTGGTGATTTCAAGGTAGGACTATTTGTAGAGGCCTTTCTGGAAGAGGAATCTCATTTCACACCAAAGTTTCCCTTTGAGCAAAGTTCACAAATTTTCAGGCAGCAACTGATTATGATGTTTAAAGACTCAAATACAAAAAGAAAGAGAAAAATATGGATGCTGTGGTTCAAAATACTATTTCTAGCAGTGAAAAGTGTCCTTTGAGGAGCAGAAAATCTTATTTAACTTCATTTTAAAAAATGAACTCAGTTATTAAGTGAGTTGCTGAAAGTGACTTAGAAAAAGGGCAATCAGTCCTGAAAGCCAATAATTTTAGATAATTAAGATAGATTTTTTTATCCTCATAGAAAGATATGTATTTAAACATTGATTAATTCTTTGCTCTCTATTATATTTCTGCAGAGGTTCATTGCTAGGAAATCCCTAAAAAGTTTTATTTAGTTCCCCTCTAACACTCACCAGAGCTTGCATGACCTGCAGCCACTTCTTCCAGTGTTGTATAATGCAGGAAGCTAAGGACAGCTAAGGGATTCTTCCATCCTTCACCCTCACAAAACTCAGCTGAGCTCTGGCCACGTTTACTACCATACTAGAAGCTATGCACACAGAGGACAGCTACATTCAGCTGATGAGCCATGCCCTCATGGCTAAGAGCTCAACCTCAAGAGCTCTGCTGGGCTATGGCCACTTCTTCCACAATCTTGAAGCCAGGTGGTTCCAGGAGAGCTTACAGAGACTTAGTAAGGCCTGCTTCAAGCCCAATCTTTACCATCACAAGAGCTTGGCTGAGCTGTGACCACCTCTCCCACCATCACCATTACTGTAGCTCTGCTGAGCTGCTGCAGCCTGTTGTACTGGCAGCAGGAGCTTGGTGAGCCCAACCCTACAGATCCCACTATCGAGAGAGCCTTGCAAAGGTTTGGCCTCCCCTCATCATCATGAGATACTTCTTCTTTCTTTTTCAATTGTAGAAGAAATTTTTTGATAGTTCTGGCTGCCTTCAGGACAGCTTTGGTGTGGCTTGTGGGGCTGAGGATTGAACCACGGTCCCCTGCACCTGACTGCATTTGCCCAAGTGGTGCTTTAATCAACTGAGTTGTGGGGCAAGGCCCCATTAGATCCTTCTTGAGCTGTGACTTGCCCCCTCCCCTCCACAAAGTGGAAATCACACTGAACCCTACACTTCAGGACTTTGATGAGCCTACCCCATGCTTTACTCTCATTGGAGCCTTGCTTACTTGCACCCTACCCCTCTGCCATCAATGGTGAATATTTTTTTGTAATTTTATTTTATTTTTTGATAATTTTATTGTCAATGGTGAATATTGGTGCTTCAAAAATGTCAAAAGAAAGGAGCCAAAGGCAATCTTATACCACCAAGCCACCCAAAACAAGTCTAGGAAATAAAGTCATAAAAGAACTTGGAAGTCACACACACAAAATTTCTGAAATAATAGCAAATGAAGCAAAGAAACAATTCCAACAGGCTACAGAGAAAATCAGATCAGAAATAATCTCTCAGATCAAAAAAGAAATGACAACAATCATGAAATAATTACTTCATAGATCTAAAAAAGACATGGGCTAAAAAATAGAGGAAAATAGGAAAATGATAGAAACACTGAATGAATAATACAGGAAAGAACTATAAGGCATGAAACAGATTCAAATGGATATTCAGGACATTAAAAACTGTACTGAAAACTAGCAAATGCACTTGAATAAAACTGAAGATAGAATTTCAGACCTTAAAGATAACATTGCAACTGGTGGACATGAAACAAAAGATCTCTTGAAAATAGCAAGGAATTATGAAATAATAATGCAACAGCTGAAAGATGATGCAAAGAAATATAATGTAAGACTAATAGGTATCAACAAAACAGCTGGAGTCAACACAAATGATACAAAAACTGTTTGCAGAAGTAGTGGCACAAAATTTCCCAAGCATGGGAAAACAATCTAACATTCAGAAAAGTAAAACATATAGAACTCCAGTTATCCATATGCAACTAAATCAACACCCAGACACATAAGCAAGATACTAAACATTCAAATAAAGAACAGATTACAAGCTGTTAGAAAGAAGAAACAGATCATATGTAAGGGAAAGCCCATCAAAATCATGGCAGATTTCTCAACACAGACCATCAAGTCAAGAAGAGCTTGGAGTGAGATATTTCAGGTCCTGAAAGAAAACAACTTTCAACCCAGATTGATGTATGATAAAAAAAACCTATCTATCAAATTTAATGGAGAGATAAGATATTTCCATGACAAAGAACAACTGAAGAAATTCATGACCACCAAACTAACCCTATAAAGAGTAGTAACAGATATTTTAGAAGATAAATAAATGAAGTTGACTCAACTTCAAGAACAACAACAGAAAAGAATTACCAAGCATAACTAACAATAAACAGAAGAGAAAAATGGGGATCTTACAGTAGGAAAATAATAGGACAAAGTGAAGTGAATACATAATAGTTCTAGCTATCAATGTAAATGTCTCCAATTCACCAATGTAAATAAATAGACTGAAGGAGTAGATCAAGAAAATCCAACAGTATTGAAATGTGTGTGTACAAGAAACATATTTAACTCAAAAAGAAATTCATAGGCTACCTCAAAAGTTAAGGGATAGAAAATAATGCAGCAGGAACCCAGAAAAATAATCAAGGGTAGCTATTCTGGTTGCTGACAATTTCAACTTCAAAGCAAGAGTGATTGAAACAGAAAATAAAGCTATGACTAAAACTATGTACTTGTTAGGGGGAAATTGCAAGAGGAAGAGATAACAATTATAAGTAGATATCTACTCAATGGAGGAGCACCCAAGTATATAAGCCAAAGGTTTATGGGCCTGGGAGATAGCTTAGTAGAATAAGCACTTCCCTGGCAAGTGTAGGGTTCTTTTTTTTTTTTTCAAAGTTTTATTGACAAACAGATAGCAATGAGACAGTTTCAAATCAAATCGGAAGGACAGTTTCAACAAATAATACACTGCATATATTCTCCTTAGTGGTTAATTGCTGTACAAGATGTGGACTTGTGATCCTATTTACAAACACCATTAGAACAAATCATTCTATTCATTAAGAGAATGCAACTAT